GGGGGGGGGGGGGGGGGGGGGGGGGGGGGGGGGAAGTTATTCAAAAGTGTGAATGCGCCATGAGATCTCTGAGAGAGAGGTCAAAGCTCATTCTGTAGAGACACTTCTCCGCTCTCTCTCTCTCTCTGAGTCTCTCTCACTGAGTCTCTCTCAATTCCAATTTCTCTCTCCTTGATTCATTGAAGAGAGAAACCTTATTTTTCTTTTTCTTCCTTTCCCAATCAATCGTTGAAATTTTTTTTTTAATAAAAAATCATTTTTTGGAATTGGGTTTCAAATTTTTTTAAAAAATTATAATTATGAACTTAGAAAATTTCCCAAAGTTTTATTCAATCAGAGAAAACAAATCTGTCCCTCCCCAATTGCTGAAACTTCTTCCAAATTACATGTGAATGACCCAAACATGTTGGCTCAAGGTACCAATTGTTTATCACTGCAAAAAAAAAATATAATCTTTTACATTTATAGCCTTTCATTCGAGTAAACTAGAGATGTGTTCCGTTTACCTACCCGAATCCAATCCGTTCACGAAGAAATGAGGACGGAGTTGTCCATTTATCTTGTTCGGATTATATTCTATTAAAGTTATTGTTCTTGCCTACTCACTTTTAACTTATGATATTGTTTCCTCGCTCACATTTGCTAAGATATATTTCAAATGTGATCCGAGACTCGAGCATACGTTGATATTGTCCATGAAGTGTTTGCTGGATTAGAACAAGTGTCGTACAATTATTGTTCTCCTACCACAAGAGTGTGATTGTGATGGAGAACGAGGAGGGAGTGGGGAGGACATCTACGTTTAAACGAAGAACCAGGAGGGAATTGGGAGGAATTCTTTCACGTTAGCTAAACGGGGCGAAAGACAAGGATTATATTTTCCATCTCCGACCCTACTAAATCCATATTTCTTGTGAAGAACTCGATATCTGTAAATTCTCGAGGAGATGACAACCAAATAAAAGTGGGGTGAACACCAAACAATTGTTGACACTTGTACAGTTGGTTGGTCTTTTTGGACTTTTCCATTCCAAATTTTCAACCTTTATCTGCAAATTAAAATGTGAATTTCTTTTGCAACTACTTTTTTTTTTTACTTTTTTTTTTTAATCAATTTTTTATTTTCTTTTTATAAAATTTATATATAAAAAATGTCGATAATACTTATTACTACTTTTTTTTAAGTACAACGTAGTGTACGAGAATTTGAATATCTTTAACTCGAGGAAAGATATATTATTAATAAAGGGTTTTACTTTACCGTAATTCTACTGATTAAGATATTACCAGATAAATTATCTAAATCGATGTAAAATTTATTAAAATTTGAAAATATTATATTTATAAAGTCGGCGATGAAGTTTAGAAAATTTGTACGAGTGAAAGTGATAAAGGTGGTCGTTGTATTCATCAACTAGGTCAAATAAATGATTTTTGTTTCTTAACCAACCAAATCTCTTATTGAAAAATGGGGATGATTTTAGTTGACCGAAGACCGAGCAAATGGTCGTTGAACAAAGTTTGACATTTGGGTAAAGGGCACATCCGAATGAGAGCAATCCCGAGGATATGATGACTAAAAAAAGTTAAAAGAATTGAAAGTTACTGTCTACACCAACAATGTGCACTTGACCTTTTCAGTGGCTCAACCATAAGAACTTCATAGTTAAGCGTATGTCGAAATGGAATGTCGAGGCCATTGGGTGTCAAGTTTAGATTTTGAATTCTGGGTATGGATCGTCACGAACTCCCGAAAGTTTGGTGATGAAATTACAATTCAATTATTTTTTTGTTAGGTGTGACGCCCGAGTAAAAGAGAATTGTATATGAATGAACCGAGACTATATTTGAATGAGACTGATCCTAAAGATTAGATGACTGAGAAAGACTTGAAAGAATTGAAGTTACTACTCGTACCAACAACATTGAATGATCGGTAAATTTAGTTAAATTACTCTTAATTATCAAACTATTATATAATATACTTTTAGTATGAAAATATATTTTATTTTATTAATTTTAAAATATAAATTTTTAAAAATTCAATAATCCCGAAACTAGGGTTACAACTCAAACCAACCCGACCTGTTTTTAAAGAGATAAAATAATATTTAACGTCTATAACCGATATTAGTGATATGCTGTGACTTATAAATGTTTGATATTTGAACTTCATGAAATTTTAGTTACTAACCTAACGCGGATAAGTATAATTTTTTTAAATAATTAAAAAAACGAACCACTCGACAATTCAATCCAACCCAACCCTGAAATAGATAGTCGGGTTGGGTTGAGCGGTGACTTCTATTTACATTGTTCAAGTCATCAACTAAAATCAACCCGACTCGAAAAAAAAAGTTTTCAACCCGACCTGTCTGCGCTCCATTAAACTAAATAACTTGCCATTTAAATCATATAAATTTTTAGATAAACTTAAAGATATTAAATATCAATATAAAACAATTAAAAAAGAAAGTTATGGATAAAAAATATTCACTGATGGATAAAAATGACGGGTCAATTGCAGGAGGAGAGTTCGGTATTAGGTCGGAGCGTTGGTACCTCTAGGGTCGACAACTCTCGACTCCTAAGGATAAATTAATAAATGCCCTTCGAATGGGTGTTAAGTTCAACCTAATTGTTCGGTTTGTCGTTTTTTTTTTAAAAAACTCTTATCTTTATTCGATTTATTTATTTCAATTCTTATATTTTATAAAAATAAAATGTTAATTCGTAAAATATTTATTATTTATTTTCAAACGACCACTCAATTAAATAATGTAACAAAAATACATTTTTAAATATATAATTGTACCAATGACCCATAAATTTTTTATTTAATACCCGACTCGATCATTCATAACTCAATCTAATTCTTGCTAATTGAATTGAGTTGATTGAATTTTTGGAATCGTGGAATTTATAATTTATTAAATAATAAAAAAAAGAAAAAAAAAATAAAGGTATGAAATATAATAAAAGGAGATGCAGGTGGGGCAGGATGCTGAAATGGCAGAAATTGATTGGGTATGATGAAGAGAGGCCAATGCTTCTGCGTTTATGTTGGTGGTGAGAAAAGAGGGTGAAAGTGAAGAAATGGTTTCGTAAATTTTGTTTCCTTCTGTTTTTTTCTTTTATTGACTTCACCAAAACGTTTCCCAATTTTTTCTTCGCAACCAAACGCACTCACAGCGGCGAAGAACCCACGGGAACGCCTAATTTTTCCCCTTTTTCTTTTTGAATCGAATCGGGCTGTGAGATGAGGAAAACAGGAGGAACCGACAAGAAGAGGGTCAGAAGGCAATCAACTGCTGTTCAAAATGCTGCCAAAGATCCCAATTCCGATACTCCTCCTAGGGTTTGCCTTCGTTTTCCTTCTTACGTCTTCATTTTGCTCTCTAATTTTGTTTTCTGATCTGGGTTTTTGTTGCCTTAAAGAGGGAACCAATGATCGCTTCTGTATGATTCTTTGTTTGACGGCGCATCCTTGCCCCAAATGCGTCATTCTTTGATGTGATTTTGGACATGTTTTGTGAATTGTTCTTTTGGGTTCTTGTATTTTTGTGCTTTTGTGAGAAATGATTGGTGGATGTTAAGTTTGTGTTATTTGTCATTTGTGATTTTGAGTTCCTTAATGCTGAAATGTGTGGCGTGTGGCTGGAGGAACGATTGACTCTGGCACCCATTTGTGAGAACGTGCTTGCGAATATTCATTGTGCTTTCTTGTTCAAGAAAGAGAAAAGGAGTGATTGATTTGCATGCATTACAAAAGGGTTTCTGTAGCTTTGTAGTGTAGGCAAGAAGGGCAACTAGAAGTTGAAATTGTAAAAGTAAAAGAGTCTGGGCCTCAATTCATTAGATTTGCTTTCACCTAGACGATGAATTGTTATTTGATTTGATAGTGCTGATGCCATTAGACGCCATTATTTCTTTGCAATGAATGTTCTTAGCTTCTTTAGATCGACGAGAGACATCTTGAATGACAGTGTGATGGTTATCAAGAAGAGTGAGAAGGTGATTGTGAGATCCCGTGTTAGTTGGGGAGGAGAACGAAACATTCTTTATAAGGGTGTGGAAACCTCTCATTAGTAGATGCGTTTTAAAACTGTGAGGCTGATGGTGATAAGTAACAGGCCAAAGTGGAGAATATCTACTGGCAGTAGACTTGGGTTGTTACAAATGGTATTAGAGCCTCAAAAGGGGGTGGACACGAGGCGGTGTGCTAGAAAGGATGTTGGACCTTGAAGAGGGGTGGTTTGTAGGTCCCACATCGATTGGAGAAGGGAACAAGTGCCAGCGAGGATGCTGGGTCCTGAAGGGGGTGGATTGTGCGATCCCAC